CAGTGGCTTGCCATCCATCAACCGTCAAATTCCTACAATCGTGACGGAAAGACCGCTTTCTACTTTCCAGGAGACATTTTGTGTCGTTACGACGCGACGCTATTTATATCTCAATGCTTGTGTGTGTCATGACCTAAGAACAAACGCGTGTAGCCACAGCTTGCTTCTAGCACTTCCCCCTTCTATTCTCCACCCATTTTTCTCTCTCCCTCTCTCTCTCTCTCCCTCTCTCTCTCTCTCTCCCTCTCTCTCAGACACACAATATCTATCCCTTCTTACCCCGCCACCTATCCTTCTACCTCCCGTTGGCTGTCAATATCATCTTATAGGTTTCATCAGGCTGTTGAAATTTTGACGCCTGTCTCGCTCACCAACAGCAGAACGCGCACCGGGGCGGCGCGCGCGTCCACCCCACCGCCGACAGCGACGCACCGCCCTCTCCCGCGCCCGACGGCACCGCCGGACATCGGTTTTCACCGGCTGCGTCCCACATTCAAGCCGAGCCTAACATCGGCGGGGAAAGCGGGGGTCGCTGTTGTCGAACCCATCAGCCTGAAGGCTGGCAGCGGGCCGACCCAGCTCCAACGCGCAAACACTGTCCAGCGCCGCCTCAATGAGAGATGAGTTTGAATGAGTTTGTGTACCACCCACCGCCTGCCGGACACCGCGCGCGCGAAACTCGAGCACCCGCTGGCCGGGAGACGCCCGGTCAACAGATCGCTCTTGTCGGTAATTATACGTGCGAGCTCATTGGTATGGATCTGCTCGCTGGCCATATCTATCGGGCCAAGACACTCCAGCTTCGGTGTTATCCGTGTTGTTCTAGATAGCGAAGAAGATAATTCATCCAGGAGTTAATTATTACCCTTAAAAGGACATCAGAAAGCCGTATTTGCTATTGCAATCAAAGCAAACGGGATGCTCTGTCAGTACTGATGCGTCAGGCGTGGTTTTAATAAACAATTTTCTGTGTGCGTAGCGTTGTGCTACGAAGCTGAATTCTAACAAAATTTTCCCATGACAGATCGGTAAGATGGTATGTTTAACGAAACGGAACGTACAACGGATATTTTTCGGAAGAAGCGTTTTCGGTTAAGGCGTTTTGAGACTTCTTAGGCTCAACCAATGTGACAAAACAGCTGGCAAGTAATGTGGTTGTTGCAATGCATGAAGCCGACGAACCGACGAAATACACCCGCCCTTCTTTCCTCATTCCACTTTATCATGATTCCTGATGGAATCCTGAGCCCCGTACATCAGGGGCAAGCTGGGCGCACCAGCCATGAGCGGACCTAGGTGCCCCCTGGTGAGGGGCCCCGTCTCAAAGCCAGGCGCAAACCCCGAACAAACCCCGTCCCTGTTCGGGTTTATTCTCGGTGAATGGACCCTCGGCTCGTGTAGCTCTGCCCCGCAGCTATCCATTCTCCTTCATCTCATAGCCCTGGAATGATCGTGACCAGCCGAAAGGGCTCTAATCCAAACAACCTAAGCCAAACCGGCGAACTTGGTTAACTTCATCAGGGGAATACTCAGAATTGTTCAATGGAGGCAAGTATTTTTATACTGAAAACTGAGGTTAGCGCCCAGCGGGCGTGCTCAATTTTGTGTGTGTCGTAAAACGACATCGAGCGCGCTCGTTCTTCTACAAATTTGATTAGGAGCCCACGTGCCCCCGAAGGCTACCACGTGCCTACCCCCTGAAGTCCATTTATACAAATTAAAAACGTACGTGAAAATGATTAACAAAGAGCCCACCTAGCAAACATATCCCCTTTTCGCGGCATAGCCTCATTGCTGTTGAATAAAGCTCACCGCGCCGCAAGCACAACTGGTCTAGCCCCAAGCTTACTCCACCCGACGTTTCCACTGATATGTTCCTGCAATAGAGCATTGACCGCCACCGCTTGACCCACATCAGTTCATTGGGGGACTTGGCTTGCATCTTGTGCTGACCCCGCATCAGATCAAATCCTTCTTGGCTTTTGTTTTGGCCCTTCCATCTTCTCACTGGCAGCACACTTTGGACCGACACCGGACGACCGAGTCCAATTGCTGGCCGGAGGCCTGATTGAACGATCTCTGCGCTGACAGTCGGCCCACTCCGCGCGCCGGGACGTGGCACGTGCCTACCGCAGTACGAGGTACGTGGTGACAGCCGGCCCACTCCGCGCGCTGGGACGTGGCACGTGCCCACCACAGCACGAGGTACGTGGTGACAGCCGTCCCACCCACACCCCAGGACACGGCACGTGCCCACCATAGTACGGGGTACGTGGTGACAGCCGGCCCACTCCGCGCGCCGGGACGTGGCACGTGCCTACCGCAGTACGAGGTACGTGGTGACAGCCGGCCCACTCCGCGCGGCGGGACGTGGCACGTGCCTACCGCAGTACGAGGTACGTGGTGGCGGCCGGCCCACTCCGCGCGCCGAGACGTGCCCACCGCAGTACGAGGTGCGCGGTGACGGCCGGCCCACCCGCACCCCGAGACGCGTTGCGTGCTCGCCACGACATGTGGCATGTGGTCACCACCGGTCACCACTGGTCACCACCAGCTACCTCACCGGCCACGGGATGCCCTTGCCTCCAGCGACCCTCAACAGACCACAGAACGTGAGCCGTTCTTCCGGTCTCTTGACTGGCATGCCGATGCGTACGGCCTTTTGGGCTCTGCCTTGGTAACACAACGCCCGAGGCTGTCTGTAACTTTCAATTGACCATAGCAAACATGCACGCCATTTGGTTTGTTTTAAATCTTAAACACAGCAAACTTGGCTCCAGGGGAGTCAAGCATTAAGTATTTTGTTGTTGCAATATTGTCCAAACCTATTTTGGATACAACGGCAAGTCTTGACCAGATCATACTCTCCTTGTGCCAGGTATGTGCCTGGAGAAGCATTCCAAAATTCATCCAGGAGGGTGGGCAGGTTGTAAATATAAATTCGTGCTACCAGAATTCTGACTCTTCGGCGGCCCCCGCACGCAATTCGTTGGCGCTAATCCGCTGCACTTTGAACCGACTCAGACATCTGACCTACTCAGCCCATTTTTCAAGCCTGAGGCGCATAGATACTGATTTGCTAGCCGCTCGGTTCGATGCTGATTGGCCGATTTTAAGAAAAGGGGAGGGGCCACAGGCAGTGAACTCAAAGCCGGGGTGTTACTGCATGCAATATTTCGACAACCCTGCCATCCAAGTGGCCGAATATTGGAACACTGGCTTGGAGCCACAACATGATCTCAGGATTCGATCTCAGGACTCCATCAGCACAGATCGCTATAGGATCTCAAATCAAACCCATGGCCTTCAGACACATCTTTGCCCACTTCACAGAAAACACACCAGGAACGCTCTTCCACAGCTCATGTTTTGCTCCTCCCATGTCTTGCTAAACGTGGAACTGAAATGGAAATATCAAAGCACTTCGGCACGCACTTTAATGTTCCATATTAAACCAGGATTTTTGCATTTCGATTGAGATAAAATATTGGACCGTGATGTGATCCAGATACAAGGCGTATGTACCTGGGTATTGAACAGAGCCTCTGCCGTCTCTCCCGACACGGCAGGGCATAGGTCCAAACGTTTGGACTACAGAAATGTGACTGCTTAGGTTCACAATGAAGGTGTTTGCTTTGGTATGTGTCAGCGTATTTTCCGCCAGCGTCAGCCCTTGAAGAATAACGTTGTTCGCGTGCCGCACAGCTGATCAAATACTTCACAACAGCCACAGTTTCGCTGGTGTCGGAGTAAGGGACGGAAGATGCCGACCTATGCAAAATAAGGGACAGGAAATTCAAGATTAAGTTCAAAGTAACCAAGTCATCCTTTAAGACGTTCATGAAAACTGAGCAAAACTTTACCGGAGGCTGCTTTTAACCACGATATGCAAAAACAAGACGCTAAGTGAGGAGCCTGAGTAAAGCTGCACAAAACTGTCAGATCAAAACGGTGCACGGCAATAGACCCCTACGCTGCCTATCATTAGATAGCTGACACAAGAAACAAACGTTATAACCGACACAAACGAGGGACGTATCGTTGCCGCTGACGCAAGTTCCAGCAAGTTCCAAACGCGCGAAATGTGTGGGCTGCACCGTGTTCGGGGATAACGACCGCAACTGAGGCTCTGATCGCAGCCCCCAGCCTCCCACCAGCGAAAGCGCCTCTCAACAACAAACTTGTTGTTGAGCGTCGGCTTTTCGTGACCACAGGCAGCAAAGATAAACTCAAAGATTAGTAACTCGCCAGGCGATGTCTCATCTCACTGCACCGAAACGCATTTCGATGTGTTCATATACAGCCGATGCATTTTGCAGGTACAGGAAGGCCGCCTTATTGTCCAGTGGCGCATCACCGTTTGGCGCAATGATGAACATTTTCAATGAATCGCGTACTTTGGTGCATGTTATATTTACAACACACGTAGCCAATTTGGGCCGAAAAAGCAGGTTTTGTGTCTGCGATTGTTGAAGACAATCTCAAACTTGGGACGCGTGCTTTAAAACCTGCAGGTAAGTCAAAATGATTCCATAGGATTACATCCAATTACATCCGATTACATCCAATAATGTCGGTTATATTCCACAATCCCTTCCAGACCCCTGTTCGCCCCCCCCCCCTTCCACGGACCCCGCCAAGTAATCGCCACCCCTTTGGAAGGTCAGACCCCGGCAAGGGCGGTGCCAAGGCTTCGACCCAGTGCACTGGACACCGGCGCCGGCCCCCCACCTCACCTGAACCTCGGGCCGTCAGTGATGCTGGTCCGCCTGTCTGGTGTCGCCGCTGAGTCGAGGCGACAGGCCGCGCGTGTTTTTGCTGCGCTCGCGCTGCTGCCCACGTTCCAACACTGCCGACTCGGCGGGTAGCTCCAACTTTCGGCATCGGGGCCCACTTTCCTTTCTGCCGCGGCTCGGCGTACACGCTCTGGCCGGCGGAGGCCGCGCGGCGCTCGGTAAGACGGCGCGCAAGGAGAGCCGGGGACCGGTGTCCGAGAGTGTACGCGGCTGTCGCGGGAGATCACGGGAGTTTGGTTTTACGGTGGCGTTACAAAAGACGGAACTGCAGAGGAAATAACCCGTGATACGTTGGCATCACGATCCTATGGCAGCTGGCGTCATCACTAAGGTGAGTTCGATGCTGGGGTCTTTCTACCTACCTTTCCTTCTGCAGCCATAGAGCGTTTCGAAAGAGATGTCGCTGATAATGCTGTTGGCTCAGTGATGACAGCCATCGATCGATGGTACTATGGGATGAATAGCCTTTGTTCATGTATTGTCTAGATGTTTCTGGTCCCAACACGCGTTTACCGGTGTGCCAACAACCAGTGCTGGCTCACTGGTTCAAACATTATATATATATATATATATATATATATATATATATATATACATATGTGTGTGTGTGTGTGTGTGTGTGTGTGTGTGTGTGTTACATTTGCTAGAACAAATAACAAATGTTGACTCTTGGATAACTGTCCGGAAGTGATCTGCTCCTCCGTTTCGAAATGTTATTCCAGGAATGTCATTTCAGTTTGGGTCGGTGAGGTCAAGTACTCGTGTGGGTCAGCTTTTCAACTACTACGCAGTAGCATCAGTCGCAAAGGTGGATATTGTGAACGCACTGCATTCGTTGACGTATTGAAAAGTTAAAGTTTAGCGAGTACACGTTTCCAGACACAACAGAGGGAAATGTTTTTCTTCGGACTGAGGTCACCTTAAACAGAACGCAGCCCATAAACATCGTCAGTATTGACCAAGGTCAATACTAAATGGCATTCAGTCTGCTAGTGTTCGTGCATACTGCGCCGATGAGAAACAGTGGATACAGAGGGGAAAATATTTGCCAGAACATCGATTTCGACCACGTTTTTCGAACGCCCTCGCCATTAGACCGCACATGTGTGAACACTGTCTCCTTTGCGCTAAGTAAGTTAAACCCTCCCATATCAGTTTGTGTCCGTCGCTCAGCTCAGTTAGCTCAGCAGCATAGCTCAGTTGGCTTGAGCGCCTGCAGCCGGATGAACGTACCCGTGGCAGGCTGGAATCGCATTGCCTCAGGCGCTCCCCCTCCGCCCCCAGCTAAGGTCCCTTGCACCGGTGGCAGGGGCCGCACCAAAGGTCAGGCGACGTCACAGAACAGGTCGGACCGGGCCGACTGGTGTGACGCGTACAACTTTCGCCGCAAAAATTATACTGTTGAACTGGAATTTTACGATCTGATGGCGTGGACAGGTCTTGCATAACAAACACCGCTCAGCGTGAGCGCTGATCTTAAAAAACAATCCATTCAAAAGATTGGGACGAAATCGTCGAAAAAGGTTCTATTTCAGATACACATACACGTGCAGGAAAGTCATTTATATCCATTGAGTTCTAAGGCGCTCGGAAGCACAGCGGTCTCATCGGCAGTGGCCACAAAGAGAGTGGACGGTGATTGTCTACTTCTTCGCCCCACATCCATCTTTCGATGCAGTGTATTTGTCAGGCACAATCAGACATAAAACTCGTCGTCGTCAACTACAAATGTGTTATTATGGAGTGAAACACTGGCGATAGGCCATGTCATCCATCAATGAAAATGTGGGTCTGGTCTAATTTTGGCCGAGGACCTTTGCGAAGCATACCTGAGTGCACCGACGATCGAACCAGCTGGCACCCCGCGGTCTGAAGTCTGGCCGGCAAATTATCGATTTTCAAACCTGTCAATTATAGACGCAAAAACAGCAACGATAGATGCATGCATCGATGCATGCAAATATTGTCACCGGCAGACCGTGCTGTCTGTGCTGTCTTACGTATGGTATAGTGAAATCGGCCATGTAATTACGCATGTGCTTTCAAAGTTACGAAATGACCGCTAGTTGTCAGTTATCCCTCAATCCCAATAGCGGTGGGCCGTGAAGCTTTATCTTAGAAATTAAAAAGCAGCAAGGGAAGAAGAAAATGCACTCGGCCTGGGTTAAGCGATTATATATATATATATATATATATATATATATATATATATGTGTGTGTGTGTATATATGTATGTATATATCTTTTAGTTACATAGCATGCGCAAGTGCGCACGTTTGATTATTCCCCTAAAACTAGTTAATCTTCGGCAGAACCCATGCTCATCCATCATACGATTCTCAGACATATCGACCATATGCTGTGCTGCTCCTTTGAGCACCTCTCCACCAGCAGATTTTGCAGCCCTCGATTCAGGAGAAATGCCTCATCGTGACAATATGTCCTGCCTACGCAGCCGTCTCTGGTCTGCCAAAGCTCATCCCTGGTGGGCTTGTCCCACGTGGCCGGTGGGTATGTCCCGTGTGACCGGCGAACACGTCCCACACGACCAGTCGATATGTCCCACACGACCTGCCGATATGTCCCACATGACCTGCCTATATGTCTCACGTGGCCTGCCTACATATCCTACGTGAACTGCCGACATGACCCACACGAGCTGCCGATATGTTCCCTACGGCCCGCCTACATGTCCCACGTGACCTGCCGACACGTTCCGCATGACCTACCGACATGTCCCACATGACCTGTGGACACGCCCCACATGACCGGCGGGAACGTCCCACATGACCGGCGGGGGTGTCCCACATGGTCGGCCGACCGGTCACGGCCTGCTCCGATCAGCGACGGCGCTGCTGGCGCCGGCTTCGCACCTCACTCGCCCCCGTCACGGCTGATCAGCCCCTTGGCCGACCCGACGCACTTCTGGTCCACGCGCCGTCCCGTCGGATAACATCAGCGGCTGCTGTCCACCGGCAACAAGCTCAAGGCGCAGATGAATCCCGATCGGTTCGCTCCGTCTTTCCAACTTTGTTGCTAATTGTTTCGGGAGACCCACTGCATACAGTTGGCCGGTCTTGCCCTCTTCCGGTTGCAATCCGCCAATCCTGAGTGACACCCAGTTTGCTGCCGGCTGCGGCCGGGGTGGCTCGCAGCTGACGTGTATCCGGCCGGGGTGGCTCGCAGCTGACGTGTGTCCGGCCGGGATGGCTCGCAGCTGACGTGTGTCCGGCCGGGGTGGCTCGCAGCTGACGTGTGTCCGGCCGAGGTGGCTCGCAGCTGATGTGTGTCAGCTTTCGCACAGCTTCCTGGTCACGCGCTCGCAGGTCAAACCGCAGGCGATCAGGACGTGCATCTTTGCCCCGCTTTGAGGTTCTAATTACCGGGCAATTACCCAAGTCGTTCGCCACCCACGCCCCCGGCCCCGGGGTATTTCGCATTGAAGGAACCGGGCGGTTAGCGAGGCGTCGGAGCGCACGAAGTCCGTGAGACATCCGCATCTTTGCAATCAACGTTCCGGTGAAGGATTACCGCCACGTCGCAGTTTGGTCGTGGCGTCGTGAGGGTAATGAAGTGTTACGGGTGCCAGCAGCCTCGGGCCGCTGCAAGCTCTCCGCTGCCCGAGTTCACTGCGCTACTTTGTGGCCGCAGGAGGGCTTCACTGATGGCGTTGTCGCATCCGCGAATGGTGCACACTCGGTGCACGGGTGGTGAAACCGTGGCAGTCGGCGAATGCAATGAGACAGTGGCGTGTCGCAGACCACCGTCGCCTCTCCGACTTTGGGGGGGGGGGGGGGGGCAAACGGTTATGGATAACATTGAGAGACGGTGGTGTGTCGAAGACCACCGTCGCTCCTCAAGAAGCCTCCCCTCCGCGGTCGCCAGAAGACCGCACCACATCAGCGAGGTCCCTGAGACTCCGCGACAAAATCTCCTTCACTGCAGTGCGCCCACATAGATGGACACCACTGGTCCTGGCGTAGAGCAAGCTCCCGCGTGATAACCGGTGATCACAGCCGAACGAGCAGACTGGCAATGGCAGCTCAAACTGTGCAACAATCAATTGAGCACGCTGCAACCGATGCGGACGAGCCGTGCAATTAATCGGCAAGTCACCGCCAGCTTCGCATTCGGACAGCCAGGTCCGGGGCGGGCGCTTCACGCCGCTGCGGCGCCAACGCGCGACGCGGTGGCACAGATGCCGGCCTTTTGACAGGGCTGTCACGGTGTCAGGCTCGCGGGCAGCGGCGGGGCTGGCGGAGGCCGGCCGTCGCTCGGACGCCGCCGCCGGCGTGACGGGACGGTTTGCTGGCACCCGCCGACGGCCCGGACGGCCCAGATGCGATCCAGATCCGAGACCGGATCTGCCCGATCCTCGCGGGCCGCTCGGCTGCACGTGCAGTCTCATTCACTGTCACGCGGCCATTGTGGAGTCGCTGGCTGTGTCGGCGGGGGCCGGACACAGGGTCGCCGCGAGGACAGGCGTCTGCGTTTGTTGACAGGAAAAGTCGCAGCACTCACTGGGAGCAGTACAAAGGCTATGTGGGTCAGATGCGGGTTTGCATTTGCACAGGACAGGCCGCGGCGTCAAATCAAGGATAATTGGGTCTTTACCGAACAAAACATGCCAAAATTGGGTGCCAAATCATCAAGAGCTGTCTGAATGTTGGGCTGTAACAGAATTGCCACAAAGAACGGACAAACCTGCTCTAGGCCAGAAAATATCGGAACTCGTAATGGCATTTGGTGGATGCGGGCACATTATGCGAAACACGGTACATGATACTTCACCGCTGTCATACTTTGACCACTGCAGGTGTCCTAAACCATAGATATCGTAAGAACTTGCGCACATACAACTTCTCGTAATATTGCCTGTTGTAGGCATGCAACGCAATCTCTTTCGCACGATTGGTTTCGTAGCGGACTCAGCAGTCTTTCGCCACCTAGTCGTGGCTTTTTTAACAGCGAATGCAGCCCGCAGTGGCCGAACCTGTCGAGCCCGCAATAACTAGTTCAAACCACCCATACGCAACAGTGAGCAACCTGGAGGCCTACAGACCAAAAGGGAGAGTTTCATTTGTGTGTTGCATCCGCTAGTTTTAGTGGCAAGGATGTTTCCTTAATTGCGCCCTTTGCATTGTGATTAACCTAGAAAGTATGACAGGGAACTGATGATTGATTGATATCTTTTTTTTTGCAAAGAATTCCGTTAAAATTTGAGCCACATTCCGTTCACAGCAGAGGGCAGCATGAAAAAGAACATTGTGTTGACACCTTTATCTCCATGCATCCTAAATTTCATTTTGCATCCCCAACGGGAGGAAAGAT